CACACATGCTATAAATAGATATTTATACTATAATAAAATAATAAATGCTACTGCTAAAAATAAACTAATAATAATTCAATAAAAATAAGTAAAAATAAGACTAAGTTATCTATTCTACCACAATATTGATAAGTAGGCAAGTTAACATTTAACTTTCCTGAAATAATGAAAGGAATATTGTTTTTTTCAATGATGTATACCTTGTTATATATAAATTAAAATAAAGAAATGATGTTTACATATTGAGGAAACTCCTTTAAAAAATATATATATATAAGTTTAAAAAAATTCCAATTTTTTTTGTACCATACTATATATTATATTTAATTATATGTTATTTATTTATTTATTTATATAAAAAAGCTCTTTTTTTTTGGAAAATATCAAAATTGTTAGATTTTTTTTATATTTAATAAAGTTTTCTTTATTAATTTTAATATTATAATATCTTTTAATATTAAATATTATATTTTTAATAATTTATTAAAGAGATTAATTATTTTCAAATTAAATAAACTATATAATAAACTAAAGTATTAAATATAAAAAAGTTTTTATAAATTATATAAAATCTAATATTAAAAATTTTTTTAAATTAGCTAGTACAATTTTTCATATTTGAATTATTAATTGTAAGAACTTTTTAATAATTTATCAAATATATAAATATTATATTTTATGATTTTTATTAATTTAATAAACTATATGTGTATTGTATTTAATTCTATAAAAAATAATAATAATAAAAATAAATATTCTATTTTGCTTAATAATTTTATTTTAAATTTAATAGTTTAAATTAATTAAAATTTTTTAAATATTTATTAAAAATTATTAAAATTATATGTTATTTAATTTAATAAGTTTCTAAATTTAATAATTTTAAATTTAATTTTAAAATATTTATTAAAAAATTTTTTAATATTAAAAATTTTTTTGTTTTAGAATTATATAAATTAAATATATAAAAATAAAAGGTTATTTATATTATTACTATTATATTTAAATTTGTTTTTTATTAAATTGAAAAATAAAAATATTTATAAAATTTAATAATTATTATTTTATTTTTAAATATTTTTTATATTTACAAAAAGTTTTAATTAAAAATATCTTGAAATAATTTTTATTAAAAATTCTTTAATAACAAAAAAATATAATTAATTTATAATAAACCAATACTTTTTACAATTTGACAAACAAATTTGTTTAATAAATTTGCTTAATAATATTTTTTATAAGTTAAAAAAAAAAGAATTACGTATTTATTAAAAAAAAAGAAATTACAAAAAAAAATATATTAATTAATTTATATTTTTAAATTAATGACAATTCAATACACAAATATATATGAAATCCAGTTTTTTAATTTAATGAAATACGAAACCTAGATGGTGAATTCAATCATGCAAACAATTCTAACCAGTTATAATTAAGACAAGCCGCATAGATAAAAAAGAATGAAACGGGCTTTAGTATGTGGGACAAGGTTTAAAACTTCGTCAAGCCATGCCTTCATGTCTACAATACTTCAATGACCAATTACCAATGATTGTGACGGAATTACAAAGTTTTAGGTGGCTGACTGTTCAAAGACCACACTTCTGCACCTTATGCATATGGCACGCGAACATCTATGATTGTATGCAGACCTGTAGATGCTGCGCCAAATCCATGTGTCTTCTGTTGCCCGAATTGCGGTTGTGAGATGATGCACACATTTGAGGTTAGAGCCGTCTCACTGCGCCTAATTAAGAATCCTTACAATACTTGTTACAAAGGGGAATAAATAAAAATAAATGAATAGATAATTCGTATTTTTGCATAATTGAAAAAAAAGACCTCAATTGCTGATGTGTTATATTGATCATACGCGTATCATAAGGAAAACAAACAAATGATCTTCATTTAATCGTTGAGAATAAGGAGTGAAGTAATAAGCCAGTAACTCAACAGTTTCTAAAAATAATGAATTTATTTCTCACTAAGAAACTATTCTGCATCTTGGTGAACGACAGCTAGAGCGAACAAAGAGAACCTCTACGAGATTCATAAAATGCTTGCCGCCAAAAATTATTTGCTACCAGACCACTGCTTTGATATGTCCGATTTTATGCTATTTGATGCGTACACCCGTATTTTTGACTGACGTAATTACATTTTTATGCATCATTTATTTCCAAATAGAATTTTTGTCAATTTCTTTTTGGGGGAGATTTTTTCTTACATTCTTTTAGTTATTATTCAACACAACACCATAACTTAATACTTTCTTCCTTTCCTTCCCTCAAAGAATTTTTGACACTTACTTTAGCTAAAATATTATTAAAAAATTTTTCTTGAAAAAGGATCTCCATAAGTTTTCATTAAAACTTGGTACCCGTTATTCGTTCCTTCCTCATTTTAATCTGCGCGGTACTAAACATAGAAAAAACACAAAAACATAAAACTAAATGAACTGTTGTCAACACTCAGATCCATTTAGTAAAATACATGGAGCCTTTATTGACATTAATTAAAGAAGTTGTGGACAACAAATCGCAAACACCCTCCCTAAGTAACAACATATCGATACAACCTAATCCGCAAAATTACTCGCCTAATAAAAATAATAAGGAAAATAGTAGTATAAAGAAAAATCAACAAAAGGACAATATCATAGATGAGTTCGTACCTGAATCGGAACATTTAGATTTTTTGTTACCGCAATCTCCCAGCCAACCGTCTTCATTCTTTTCACAAGTTTCCTCAGGTCACAAATTGTCAAAGATCGAAGAACACTCAGGAAAGCTGACAACAATAAAAGAGTCAAAGTTGGAAAATCGACTGTTACTTCCTACGACAACGACTCTGAGCAGAAGCTCATCTGAAGAGTCTGCGTCTTTAAGGGAGTTGGAAGCAAAAGATTTGACGGTGTTGGGGGAAGAAAATGGCGGGCGGGATAGTTATGGGACATTTCAAAGTCGTGTATATAATCACAATAGAGATGGACTTTCTAGAATATTGGAGGGAAAAAATGATAAAAATTGTGAAGAGAGCTCGATTAATCCCAAAAATATTACTAACGTCACACCTGTTACATCCAGTCCTGAGACATCGACCGATGTGTCATCTATTTTACATCCATCTTTATCAGTTTCCTTGGATTCCATTCATTCCGAAAAATCCGTGTTTGGTGATATGTATAGTGCAATTAGAGATGGTCATCCTGACGTGGCAGTTTCGCCATGTCCCTCACCTACTCCGATATCAAATACGAAACCACTGAGGACCTCTAAGGATACGAAAACCGGTATATTGCGTTCAATGGAAGATAAGTACCCAAGTCCTGGTGCTTACTTTGCCCTAAGAAGTGGACCCATGGGGGATCTGAGTGGCGGTTTGTCCCCTCATAAAAGGGTAACTTTTGATCATCTTGAAAAAATATTGTTTCCCGCACACCTTCATGCAATTAAATTTTCCGTGGATTTTCCTTGGCCATAGCCAAAATTTCTATCTAATCAGAACACAAATAGGAATGAACGATTTCCTGCTCCTTCAATAGACACTTCACGGCCAGAACGCAGCATGTCGGGGCGCATGGCAATGGAAGGTTGGCCTACTTCTCCACGTCGGATGCAACTGGTAAGTCCGCGCTTCAAGTCTTTAACTGATTTGGTGGAAGATCCCGAAGGTTCAGAACAACAGGTATTTTGTTATTCCGTCTACCTTATAATTAACCAAATATTTTTCATCATTATCAAAGTAATTGGTACAAGTAGTGATTTGATCTTTACATGCATGATCATATATATAGTCAGAAGTACTAGCTTTGCAATCAAAATCCATATCATCGAATAATGAAAGTTCCGTAGCCCCCTCGCCGGGCTCTTTGCTTGCGATCATTGAAGATACGGAAAATGAAGAAGAGTCAACAGAAGATAAAAATTGTGAAGAGCCTGAACAAGACCATGACATAAATGCAAAATCAAAAAATGATGGGCGATCGAGAAGTTCGCGTCTCGTGGATTTGCTGCCTAGCGATAATGGGACCATATTATCTTCGCATATAGGTGCTCAATCACTTAGAATGCATAAGCCGTCTCTGCCTTATGACAGTGGTGCAAGGGAGTCATCCGATAGTATTCTAGAAGACATGAAGTCCATTTCTAAAGTGATAATTAGTGATGAAACTTCTGATCAAGAGGATTGCCAAGATGAAGAACAAAAGGAAAAATCAAAAAGTCGTAACGAAAAACGTTTATCCGGTTCCTTCAAATCAAATTTAATAGGCATTAGTGAAATAGAAGAGGAGGAAGAAGAAGGTGAGGAGGAAGAGAAGATACAAAATGAGGTAACAAAGAACGTAATCACTCGTAAAACACGGAAATTGGGTTCATATTTACAAAGAGAGAAACCTAAAGAAGAGTCGAAACCGGAACCTATAAAAAATTCGACTGGTTCAAGAATAACTTCGCGTTTTTCTTCAATTCAAGTTAGACGAACCACCCCTCAAATGCTAACTGTAAAAACTCCATTACCTATGCTATCCGAGACTGAAGATGATGAAGAAGATATGGATTTTATTTCTGATGGTACAAATGAACGGCCTAAATTACCAAGATCTTCTGAAAACTCTGATGTGTCAACACCCTCGACTCCAATGACACCATCTGTACAATCGGCCCCTGTGACCCCTGCTAATTCTAAGTCGCATTCATGGCGTTGGCCAAAAAGACCTTTCAGCCCTGCTCGAGGGAAAAACAAAGAAACAGAGCGTATTCAAAAGAACGATAATCCCGCAGATCATATAGGGAAAGTGGGGAACATATGGGCAAAAAAGACATTGGGACAATTGCGAATATATCATCAGCGTCACAGTCCCAGCATATTAAATAAAGGGTTTGGACTGCCAAGTCCTCTGAAAGAGTCATCAAGTCCGTTGTTGTCTCCTATGAGCGATCTGTCAGATGCGAAAAAATCACCGGCGATAGTGATTCCAGAACAACCTTTGGAAACCATAAATGAAGAAGATGAAGAGGATGACGGAATTGGTGTTTGGTCAAGCGAAGAAGTTGACCTTACTGATTCTGGGGTTGAGGAGAAAAGCCCTAGATCTCCAACAGTAGTACCCCCTCAGATTATTGAAGAACCAGAGGAACCGCGCGGTATGAAAGTTTCTCCAGAACATCTGACAGTGGTTGGTGGTCCGATCATCAACAAGAATAGTCCAAATGCCTCGACCTCTTCCCTTCCGTTACGGAGCAGTCCAAGTAATTCATCACTGGCCAAGCACAATGCCAAACCGGTATTTGAAAGCACATTCATGATTTCTAATCATGCTGATGAACCCCTTCGATATGAAATTCTATGGCCTGCGTTCCGGTTTGATGTCTCCCCGGCATATGGAGTTGTCAAGCCTAAGAGCGTGACGGTCATAAAAATATCGGTTATGAATAAACACCTTGCTGCCCAGTCGCGACGTGAAGAGATCAGAGAATCTAAGAGATTGATGGGAATCCTTAAAGGTCCGGCGCAGAACGATGAAGATAGGCCCTTGATGGGTAGAACTAGGATACTGGTACTCTGTGAAAATGGAGAACGAGGAGAAGTTATAGTTGATGTTGTACCACCAAGAAAGAAGACAAAAGGGGAAGCTGAAAATTCTCGTGCATCAAAGGATAAAAAAGAAACTGAAGATAAAAATTTCATCCGGAGGCTTAGTAAATCAGGCGGCAGAAGTCTCACTCGAACCGTTGATGATTTAATAAAGGCCGCCAGAGCTAGAAAAAAGAAAGCCGCCAAACCCGAAGAAGGAAGTCCGCGATCGACGAGTGCTTCCAGGGGAAAGTCCACTGTAAGCAAGGCAACTGGATCCTCTAGCAAGCCTTCGGGAACACCTAATTTAAGAAGAAACACCTCAAGTCGACCTACAAGTCGACCCAGTAGTCCAGAGAGTAATATTAAGCAACATGGCCCCGTGCGAAAGCATATGACAACATCCTCAAGTCGGAGTCGACCTAATACCCCCGATACGCATAGATCACAAAGTGAACACACATCGCCTTCACCTATTAGCCGTTCTCGTACTCCTGATGAAAATAGACTCGGAAAGCAATATCCACAACGTAAAAACTTCATTTATATTGGTGTCCCTGGAAATGTAAGCTGTCCAGATACTATAATCCGTGAAGAAAATCACAGCGTTTTCCGTATACACAATCCTACAAATAAGCCCGTTACCTGGCATCTTAAAACTGTCACAAATCCTTTTCTCCGTCGTTCTGATTCCACCAATTCTTCACAAAAAATAAATGACGAAGTTTTCCTAATAATGAAGACCAGTGGATTGCTTCGAGCTGGTACCACCGAGAAAGTTGTCGTGAGTTTTCGCCCCATGCTAGCTGGTACATATTATCAAAGTTTTATGTTAGAAGATTCTTCGAGCCCGGAAACTTCGGCTGGGGGTATTACTATTCGTATACAAGGCGAAGGAAAGGTTGACTCATCCAGTCAATCCAAAGTGGATACGAGAAAAAGCACTAACTCTAAAGCGGTAGACTTCGAAGTTTCTGAAAAAAAGATTCTGATACCTACAACTAGAGTAGGCAGACGGAAATCTGTAGGGATCAAGATAAATAATCCTTCTAACCAATTAATAAGGATAAAATGCAAATGTGAAGTAGAAGGAAGTAGCATTTCAAGTTCGATCTTATCAATACCTTTGTCCAGTGTTCAAATCAAACCGCGTGCATTTGTATTATTACCTGTGCGTTTTTTGCCAAAAGAAGTGGGAGAAGTTCGAGCCATTGTCAAGTTGCAAGCCGTTGGAAGAAGCGAAGTTCAAGTCGATATAGTAGCAGAGGGTGTGACGGACACATCGACGACAAACTAGATGCATAAATATACAATCCGAAACCTCTGAATTTCATCACCCGATTAATCCTTCCCCAACATCCTTTCCCAGCCACAGTTTTGCAACACGTAGTCCACTCTTCTGGGTCTACAGCTTGGGCATTGGGAATTTGCTGGGCATGCTTTTTCTTTCCAAAAAGCGAGATTCCACGATTCAAACCTTAACGGTCGCATTCAAACCTTCCTTTAATTCAAATACTATCCATCTTATTTACATCTCGTAACGCAAAATTCTACTATTCACGTCCGCATTCCATTAACTCCTTGATTTTTCTTATTCAAAATTCCTTGAGGAGGAAAGTTGTCCAAATTACAACAAAAAAACAAAAAAAATTAGAAAATTGGAAAAAATTAAAAATGTACCTATTAATTTTATTCAAAATTTATTGATCGCTATTTGTTATTCTTCATTCCTATCTTATTTCATCATTTCGATCAATTCTCAGTCTATCCTACCGATTCGTAATTTTTATTCAAACTATATAATATTTTGCTTCGATTTATTATTATTTTTTTTTTGGTACATCATTTTTTTACCATCGATCACGACAAAAGTATTCAACAAAAGTATATCAAAAAATGAGCTCTCAAATGTTTTTATTATTCTATTATTAATAATCGAGAGCCAAAAAATTTTTTATTATACAAAAAGAAAACAAATTTTTATAATAAATTATAGTGAACATCTAATTCGTAATAGTAATCAACAAGTAAATTTACATCCTAATTTACTAATTCATGAGGTGAACGATATTAACATTGGATCATTATCGTTGACGAACGATGCATTAATAATAAAGTTATTAAAGACGGTGCAAGTCATCTGTAAGATTATCTACTACATGATTCGGTTATTATTATTATTATTGTTGTTCGTTTGATTTAATGTTCATGAAAAATTGCCAAATGAGATATAATTTACATTGCTAAATATAGTCTTACATTTATAATTATTTTTAAAAAATGGGTTGAACTTTTTTTATTTATATTTATTTATTAATTAAACTTTATTGAAAAAAAAATCATGTTATTTAAAAATATTTTGAAATTTACAGTTGTCAAAATCTTTAAATACTGTAAGTATTTATTTATTTGAGATAAAATTTTAAAGATATATTTTTAGAGTATAAAAAACAAAATATTTAGGTTTTTTTAATACTTTATTAAAAAATTTATCTTGAAATTTAATCTTTAAACTAAAAAAAAATTTGATGAAAATTTTTTTATAAATTTTATATATAAATTGTAGTTGGAAAAATAATTTTTACTATATAAAATTTTTAAAAAAAATTTACTTAAAAATAAAAATAATAGGAGTAATAAAAAAATTGTAAAAATATTTTTTTATAATGTACAAATTCATTTTATAAAAATTATTTTATTTTTTATTTTTTATTTTGTATTAAATTTTAATAAATTTATTTAATTCAAAGATTAATTAAGTTACTTGGCATTTAATAAAAATTATTTTTTAATTATTTTTATTTTTATTTTACAAATTAATGAATTAACATTATTATAAACAATTTATTGATTTAATTACTATAATTTATGTAAACCAATATTTTTTTAAAAAATTTTGTTTTGATATAATTAATTTTAATAAAATTTAATAATATATCAATAAAATCTTTAATAAATTTGTTTTTTATATTCTTATTAAAATACATTTAAATTTTGTTAATTATTTATGGAGTTACAATAAAAATATAAATTAAAAATTTGTTCAGACTTTTTGAATATATTATATATATATATATATATATTGTTTTTATTATTAATTCATTTGTTAATTTTATTTGTTAGTTTAAAGTCTATACGTATATTCTTGTACTTTATAATAAAGTAAAATAATCTATTTTTTAACAAAAATCAAATAAGTTAATTAAATAATGTTAAAAAAGATTTGTGCAAATTAAATATTATTTATAGATGTTTTATTATTGGAATCAGTTTTTTCATAAAATTAATAAATAATAAGCTAAAATTCCAAGATATAATATATATTTTTTTGTTATATCTTTTAATTTAGAATTATAATGAATTGTTTTAACCTTCTTAATTTCATTAATTAGTAATAGCATGTTACAATAAATAAAACGAGAACAATTACAAATAAATATAACTAGTATATTGATATTATCAAAGTTTAATTAACGCTTTTATATTTTTTAAAAATTGTAATATATTTTAGTTATTCAGAGATAAAAAAATTTAGAGAAACACGTAAATTATTATCACCTTTATTTTCTTATGATTTATCCGATGATTCTACATCATTAATCAAATCCTTTTCTATCTCTTTGACTAATGCTTCGGCAACCTTCACAACCACATCCTGAGCATCCATTCCTTCCATACTTTCAGTGACCTTCATCTCCTTCCCTACCCTTAATTTCTCCCATTCCCAGAGTGTAACTTTCATCCCCACACCGGCCGGGCAATTTCTTGTCAAGTACCATAGCCACCTTTCCACCACCTCTCGATCGGTATCTCTAATAGTCAAAAGTCTTTTGTGAGTCTTGCGTTCAAAATTTTCTTGAGATTTCTTATGTACAAATGGGCCTCTAATTACTGTCCATCGAGATGTTCGTGTGGGTAAGGGAATCGATCCGCTGCAAGGCATTTTTAAAGCATGTGCAACGCGTCGAGAAAAATCTACAAAAAAGTCCATAGGTCCCGGAAGGTAAGAACGGAAATGAAGCTGACATACAATGTGTCCGTATGTTGGTGGGATTCTTTGCGGTTCTGTTCGTGAATGCGAGCAAATTATAAGAAGCCGAACAAGTCATTCACTTTACATTTGATCTATAATTATTTTACCCAAAAATACGGGATCTATCGGTTTTTGATCCACATCTTTAAATTCACCGTTTCGAATGGTTGATGCCGCTAAGTGATCTGGGTCATTTGCATTTACGCCAAACTCTTCGCTGTGAATAAAATCTAATCATTTTTTTGATATTGAACCCGAAACTTCTGACAGAGAACAAAAAAGAGCGTTCTTTTACGTGGTAAATCTGCGAATGCCTGTGGTCTCTGAGATCCTCAAAAATGGGTTTTTTCGAAATTGATACGTTAAGGTCTATAATAATTATTTTTATTAGCCATAGGCGAATGATCCTTTAACGTATCAACAAGTAGCCTAGTAACTCACGTAAGGATAAACTGATTTAAGAAACTTGGATTTTGAAAAATTGGTTGCGATAGACATCAAGGGAATAATAATTGTGAAGAATTTATTGCGATTTTTAAATCTAAAATTTTGATGTCACGTGCAAAAAATTTTTTTGCGTAATGATGATTATTAATAATGAAACAAACGTTTAGAGATACATCAAATTCTAAAAGGAATCGCTCAACATGAAAAATGCAACAGTTGCAAATACAAATTTCGCGTCGAAAAGAGTTCCAACCATTAATTAACATACTTTTGGTCGCAATTAGATAAAACAAATAAATTACATTTGAACCATCTCTTTCTCAATGTCTTTAAAATAAATATGACATTTAGACACGAATTGTTGTTATTATTACACGTGGGAAAAATTGTTTATCCAAAACGAAAAGTATGTGTTGTGCGATAACCACCAGACCTCTGCCTTGGTGGTTCTCGCGAAAATCCTCCAAAATTACTACTCCTCGGACCACCGCTGGCGCCCGCAAAACCATCAAACATCTGAAAGAATAGATTTGGATCAACAGAATCAAAGTCCATTCCGCCGTTCATACCATCAAGATCGACGCCGGAATCATATCGCTGTTTTTTGGAAGAGTCTCCAAGAACGGCGTATGCCTCTCCAATCTCTTTAAACTTGACCTCGGCATCCGAATCACCACAATTCTTATCTGGATGATGCTGAAGCGCTAATTTACGATAAGCTCTTTTAATTTCGTTTTCAGATGCATCTTTCGACACACCGAGAATCTTATAATAATCTTTACGCGTTGACTTTTTCAATTCTCTTTCGGCATTATGAAGTTCCCTGCGAATATCCTGATTGGTGCTATCAATATCCAACGCCGCTCTCAGGTCATTCACAGCATCCTGATATCTTTCCAACTTTAAATATGCATCGGCACGTCGCCGTAATACTTTAACGAATGTAGGATCCAACTCTAAAGCCTTGTCCATATCCTTCACAGCTTCTTTATATTTTCCTTGTTTCGTCAGAACAAAGGATCGATTCGAGTATATTTTTGAATTTGTGTTAATGTTCGACGGATCTATTTCAAGGGCGGCGGTGTATAATTCATAGGCGGCATCATAATCCCCTTTGTTGAAGGCATCGTTGCCTGCATTTTTCTGTGTCTCGATTTGTCGGGATTTCTTTATTCCGTAGAAATTTTCGTCAATAAAGAATTAGCATTCAAGAACCAATGGGATAGTGAGTTACCTTTAATAAAACACGGGCTCCCGAATGATCAGGATCACAGCGCAATGCCTCTTGACAATGAGCCATGGCCTTTTTATTGTCCCCCTCGGTGTATAGTATCCGTGCACGTAATACGTGAGCATCTGGATTTTGAGAATCACCACGTAATACCTCACTAATAAAATTTGTAATTTCCACGTGAGTTACTTGCTACATGACGTTAGACCTGACGTCAGATAATAAATGATCGAATAAATAGTAAATTTGCCCACTTTGCAATTCTGCTTGCTTCTGCGTATTCTTTTTGTTCCAACAATGCTTCCCCCTTCATTATTTTCCATTTTTTAGGAACCTCTTCCATTGTGGACGCTGCTCTATCAAGCGCATTTATAGCCAATCCATGTTGTGCATTCTGTAAATATGTTTCTGCCTGATGAATATAATTTTGCACCTGGCATAATTGTTTATACTCTGAATTTGCTTGTCCATTCGTCGGTTCCAGGTGCAATGCCTTTGTATACCACCGCTCTGCTTCCGAAAGATTTCCAAGTACGAAATTACATTTTGCACCACGAAGTAATGCTTTAAATGATGATGGGTCAAGCGATAATGCACGTTGACAGTCTTCAAGTGCTTCCTTCGACCTTTTCAACATCATCAAAGCAGCGGCACGATTAGTATAATATGTTGGAGACGTGGTATCAAGCTCTACGATGAATGCGTCAAAAAATGTTTATTATTTCGCCTGGATATGTTTGAATCAACATTTTCCCTCATCAAAGGAGAAACGACAAACATGACGTTAACGATTAGATGAATTACCAATTGCTTGGGTATACAAAACAATGGCTTCCTCATAATTTCCATTTTTATACTGTTCATTGGCGGCTACTTTGGCTTCTTCCGCGGAATTGAACCTTGCAAAATTAAAATACAATTTAATCTACGACAACTCTTATCCGGGTATATATGGAAACTTGTGGTAAATAGAATTTAAGAACGTATTCCTGGATTTTTCTGGGTTTATGTATCTAACCAGGACCGAACCTCAAAATACTTTATTTTAGCATCTGAAAAAAGGTCACAAATGTATAGAGGGGTTCTTGTGGTTCTTGAAATGACCGTTGCCATGGCAGCTCTCAAAATTTCTAGAAGATACTCACGTCAACTGTTCATTATTCTCTGATTCTTCACCGTTATACATATTATGTGTTTCTATTGTAAATCCAACCAGAAATGTCTCCTTCGTGAAAAGCAAGGGAATAAAGCGAATGAATCAACTGGCGTTAATTTTTATAGTACTTTCGATAGCAAATAATCAAAATATTTAGGCACTCCTTTTTTGGGGGAAGATTGACCACATGCGTGAGTATACGTCAAATCGAAACTCGTAGAAGGTGAAAGAACTTTTCCAAATTGACGTGTGATCTCGCAGCATATTGAAGAATACGTGCGTTATATGCTGCAATAATATATTGTGTGTGTACTTTAAACCACAACGCGCATTACGCTAGCTACTTGCAATTTGGATTCCGGTTACACGATTATTGCTGATTAAAGAAAACACCAGAAATAAAACAATTGCCTCAGAAAGAATAGAGATACACGAATTAAGCAAGAATACCAATCCGAATTGGAAGGCGTATTCTGTCACGTGAGAAGTGCAAACGTCACCATCTTTTTCTTAACAATTCATTTATAAGAGCCATACTATTAATTGATTATATTGATTAGTCAATTAAGCAATATAGCTAGACCGTCTAAAAAAACAATCATCAATTAAAATTAATTTAACTGTCTAAAAAAAATAATATAAATTATTTTTAAATAAAAAAACAAAAAAAAACTTTAATAATTTTTTATAAATTAATTACATACAGTATGGGGCAAAAAAAACCAGAATCATATATTTACTTATAATTCAATAACTAATTAATTAAATTATATAGAACTTTATAAATAAGTTCTTTAATATCTTATCAATAAGTTTGTTATAAGTCATATATATAAATATAATAATAAGATT